TTCTAAATGTAGCAATTGGTATGAGACAGTTTAGGAGTTGTTGCATTTTAAACAAATGTACTGTGTGTACCCACTTTACTCATTTTACTATAGGTGAATGAAAATCGTGACCGGAAGGGACAAATGGGACAATAACATGATGACACAGCTGAGGTGTTAAATGTTAACTGTCAGACTCAGCCTTGTCCCATGGTACAGGGAGACCAAAGGTCCACTTGGTGCCTTTCCTAGGTGACTCCTCCTAGGAGAGATAACCAGCACTCCAGCCTGTCTGAGGTTCACCTTCCTCTCTGACCTGGTCTGAAGCCTCGCAGTCAGAGCTCTGGAAGACTCGACTCTTGTAGCCAGGCCAGAGGGATCTGCACCAAAAGGCTTACACCTCAGGACTAGCAGGAAACACACAGGCTTTTATGAAGGTACTCAACTCTGTCTTTCCTTTATCTCCTCAAGCAACAAACCAAATGATTACTTTACTATAAAAGGTGTTATGTGGAACCTCTAAGGTGTGTTATCATTTAACTTGTCAAACTCAGCTAATTATCTGAGGCTGAATGATTTTAAGTGTCTACATCCAGAGTGAGCGTATGTATTTCTGGCATTAAAATAAAGGCTAGTTCCTTTTGAAATGTTGTATTGATCAGTCCTGTGAAAATCAGCTTCTGCTTTGTGTCCAATATGATCCAAAACTGTGCATATGTGTGTGTGTCTGTGCATGTTTCAGGTACTCAAAGCAGAAGCTACTATGGAGAATCATGTCACACAGATTTCCCGAGAGGACCTGGAAGATCTCAGAGAGGCCTTTAATAAAATTGGTCAGTGTCCCACCCATGCTCACACATCTAATCAGACCCTACGCTTGCATTGACTGTGACCAAAGTAAGAGTTTTACAGCTGATCGTAAAATAAAATGACACTTATGTAAGAGGTTTTTATTGCTCTGGGCATCGAGTGTTTATACTGTACCTTGTGTGTGAGGTATTTTCAGCTGCAATGCAGATTTTATAATTTATTCAATGAGAGTGAATAATTGCAAAGAAGGTTTGGTAAATAAGTAATATAAGAAAGAGATATCACTGTATGATATTCAATTACAAGGCACAAATAATCAGGTAAAGGGGGTGTGACTGAGATTTGATCCGGTTTAAAATGACATGGGAACATTTTCTTTTACTGGTCACAATTCATTTAATTTATGACAAAAACAGACATGAAACTGTCCTGAAAAGGACAAATTTTCTACTGTTTATAGGCAAAATGGATTCATTGTCTGAATACTCACAAACAATATGTGATCGGGGTCACAAGTTCATAAGCCAGACCCCCTGGTAACCCAGAGAGTCGGATAAACATCTGAATTTCTTTTTCCACAGGCAAGAATATGATTGAACTAAAAGTTTCTAGTGATAGAATAACAATGAATTAATATTTATTTGGGTTTAAATGGAACAGTTCTTTCATAAAAAATCCCAAATAGAAACTTGCCTATAAACTTAATTACAATCTGTCTCCAAACTAAGTTTTCATTCTTTCTGAAAGCAGAACCAAATAATAGAGCTGTTTTCTGGAACCTATTAGGAAGTTACAGACCTGTTCATGATAGCTTTGTTTGTCCTTTTTTATCATCTGTAAGCTATATTTAACATTAAATATTAGGCTCATCACTTTCACATTAATATTTGTGAAGTAAATTGACATATATGTGTATGCTTTTCTTTGTGTGTCTGTCTATACAGATATTGATAACAGCGGCTATGTAAGTGACTTTGAGCTTCAGGAGCTGTTCAGAGAGGCGAGTTTCTCACTGCCGGGCTACAGGGTACGAGAGATCGTCGATATCTTCATCGCTGGAGACACCAACAAGGATGAGAAGATCAGCTTTGAGGAATTTGTTTCTGTAAGTTCTGACACAAATTTGGAGCAAATATGTGACTTATACACATCCAACCGCACAGAGTAACACGCAGCCTGTCCATGTTCAGATCTATCAGGAGCTGAAGAGTAAGGAGTTCAGTGAGACGTTTAGGAAAAGCATCACAAGGAGAGATGGGATCCGGTCTTTCGGAGGAACATCAGGAATCTCCAGCGAGGGAACACAGCACTCGTACTCTGGTGCGTGAGAATATGCTCTGTGTGTTTGTGCATGTTGCCGCTAGTTTCATAATTATCACACCTGTTACTGGCATTCACGTGCCCCAGTTTATACTTTGATTTATTACCTTTATCTTCGATGTCAAGTCACAGAATTAACTTCTGTTTTACTTGTAGCTGTTCAGAAGGTATTTTTAACCTCAAAGACTTGATACAAAGACTTTGACCAGTTTCAGAATCTGAGCCTTATTTTCTGGGTCCAAACAAAGACTCATCAGGCTGTGACTTGATTATGGTTTATCAGCTATATTTCCACTGCTAACATTTGCACCATACTTAATTGCACTGATATTTTGCATTATGAATACTTTTACTTTTGCTACTTCAAGTATATTTTGATGCTAATACATTAGTTCTTTTAACATTTTGACTGCAGGACTTTTACTTGTTGCAAAGTATTTTTATACTGTGGTATTTCTACTTTTACTTAAGCAAACAATTTCAATACTTCTTCCACTAGTGGTCACAAAACAGAGTAACACAGACCTGTACAGGAAATGTACAGTGTATGCCATAAGTTAAAATAAGTTTAAAATATTTTCACTTAGAGGTTTTTAATTTACTATCACATAAGGCAAAGAGAAGTGAATCATTATCCAGAAGCTGGAGTTTACAAGTATCTGAAGTTTTTCTTATCCAATCTATTAGGAAATTGAATTACCATTGAATTTGATGTCAGTCTTAAAGGTAATTAATCCCTTTCGTGTGTGTTTAGATGAGGAAAAGGTGGCTTTTGTTAACTGGATCAACAAAGCTTTGGCGAAAGATCCAGACTGCCAACATCTACTGCCCATGAACCCCAACGACGAAAGCCTCTTCACCTCTGTTCGTGATGGCATCCTGTTATGGTATTACACACACCAGCACATGTGCACAGGCATGCACGTACCCAAAAATAAAAAAAATGTGTAATCATTTCATGTGCACACGGTAGCCCTGTGTTTTGATGAGCAGGAA